ATGATGATGATGATGATGATGATTATTATTATTATTATTATTATTATTATTATTAGTAGTAGTAGTAGTAGTAGTAGTGTTGTTGTTGTTGTTGTTATTATTATTATAATATTCCAAATAGACTTAGACCAGAATCAGTTCAGCCTTCAACAGAGTTGAAAGTTTAAATGAGAAATTAACCTTCTCTTCCTTCCCTTCTCCCACACCTCTGGTTTCTTGAAGTTTTAGTAGGGCAAGCTCTGGTCACTTTTTAGTAGGGCAAGCTCTGGTCACTTTTGAGCCCTATGAAATTTTAATAATGCAATATCTTTATTAGTCACTTGACTAAGTATGTGGATATTCTTCTTAGGGATCAACTTGGGTATTCAGTGTTGTTGAACTCAGAATACCTCATCTAACCACAAAGTGGTTGTTTTCAATCTTAGGTCCTAAAGGAGATGTGGGCTCTCCAGGGAGTCCTGGGAGTTCAGGAGTTCCTGGCACAAAGGGAGACATTGGATTTGTTGGCCCACAAGGTCCCCCAGGCCAACCAGGCATTCCTGGGTTGCCAGGGAATATTGGAGAGGGCCCCAAGGGTGACCGGGGGCCCCAAGGGCAACCAGGGCTTCAAGGTAAGATATGGATCTGTTCTAGACAAACTAACCATCAATAAAATGACTGTTTTATGTTTAAGTAAGTTTGACTGAATGAATTTATAAATACTTTATAAATACTACCTTAAAAATGCTGTCTTACAGAAGTAGCAGGATCTTTTGTAATTGTCACAATGAAGCCATAACCTATTTCTCTATTATAGCATTTTTGTGTACTACAAATTTGTGAATATTAGATAAATCAATGATCAGAGCCCATATGACTGAAACCTTATTATTTATTAACCCCAAGTACAGTCTTTGTTTTAAAGAGGGCAATAACAAGCCATGTTTTCTTGCAAAATAAATCTGGTCAAGAAATACTTTCCCCCTGTTTACTTTAGGACTTCCTGGGCCTCAAGGATTTCCAGGAGTTTCAGGATTACCAGGAGAAAAAGGAGAAAAGGGAAGTCAAGGTTGGCCAGGGCAATCTGGGCAACCTGGACCCAAAGGTGACCTGGGAGTTCAAGGAATCCCTGTAAGTTAATATTACAGCCATGACTGATTGCCCTACAATTGTTACACATAACAGCATACTAGCACAAGGAGCTCATTATTTTCAGTCAATGGATTTTCTTCTAAGAGCAAGGCGCTCTGAATCAGGCAGTTAATACTTAAACATACAGTATATTTTACCAAACCCTAAACTTCCCATGGAATGGTGACCTCACATGTGCATATAACATAAACAAAACCTAGGATGAGATGGAACCATGTGGCAAGGCTTTTGTTGCTTGTCCCTTGTTGTGGAACAGTTCCACTTTATCACTGACTGAAAGGGCTTTCATATGGAGGATCACAAATAGCTCTAAGGGTTATTCTCACCCACTGCTTGCTTTGACCTGAAGGACAGACAGACCATATATTCTCTTCCTTTCTTTGCCTTAATCTTAACCAAGCCAGAGCTTTCATCCATGATCGAAGGAGCTTGGTAAAATGAAGAATCTGAGCACTTCAACAGCAGATGTTCATACATTTATCAAAGTACATACAACAATTAAATTAATCTTGCAGCTTTCATATAAAGGAAAACAAATTTGAACGTTTACATAAAAACATTGAGGCGGTCCTTCCATAGGAGCAGGCAAGCCACTCCCTGGTCTTTGAAAGAATATTATCACTAGAAGAGAAAGCTCTGACTTAGCCCAAATCTTTTTATCAACTATTGGAAAGGCAACATTTCCTTACAGAGAAACTAATGGATCACAATCAGTGTATTATTACAGATACACCTGTGGTTTCATTTACTTTATTGGGAAGGGGGAACAAAACCTCACCAACATGTCAGCAGGCAACAAAGTGCTTTATACTTCCAACAGTTTCATTCTGAGTCTCAAAAACTCATTTTGTCTTTGCTAAAGTCAAAGACCTCTGAGTGAAAAATCTCAGATCTCTTTATTTGTGGCTCTTCCTGCAGCTTTCCTCACTTATTCACAAAATGGTCTATAATCATTATAGTTAATGTTCCGAATGAGGAACTAAAGGCTCATACCAGTGGCCCTGTTTGCTGGACTCTGCAAATTGGTCACCTTTGCTTCTGCTGCATGTTCCTTTTGCAAGCAGATACACTTAATTAAATCAATTTCCTCATTTTAGCAAGTGATTGCCCAGTGATAGAATTACATTTGGATATCCAATTTGATGTTAGGTTCTTCCAATGAAGGAGAAGGAAGATTGGTGTTGCCTTCCCCTCAGTGAATGAAGTGTTTGTAACTCACTTCTTAACAGCCAGTTTGCTTGGCAGAGAGAGTTAAGACTCAGAGTTAAGACTTCTAAACTACAATGCTCTGTAGGATTTGCAGCCTTATTCTTCTTTCAGCAGAGCGTATTATTAGCTACATCATACATTTAGTTAAGGATCAAGCAGCATTTCCTTCTATCTTTTTCAAAATGGGATGACAGTTTAAGACACTCTGTTTAGTTAAAAACACCTATAACTTCCTTAAAATGGAAACATTTTTCAATTTTCAGCTACTTGGCAGATTTGGTGGGAGCCGTCATGCTGTTTCTTCCTTTTACCCATCTTATTTTAAGTGTTGATCCCATAGACAAGAATAACAGTTAAGAAATAAAAAGGTAAAAGGGATAAAACACAGTCACACACACACCAAGGAAAAGAAAAAAATAAAGCATTAAAAAGTGAAGAACATCAGGGAACTTAGATTCAGAGCTGCTCATCCATCATCATCATAAACTCAAAATTTAAGTTCAAGTTTAATTATTAACTTCAATTTTCAGTTTTGGCTAACTGGAAATGGCAGGTACTGTACTCCAAAATCCCCATAGAAATCCCTCACACTGTGCTTTCCAGTTAATTAAGCAGAGTGATAATATGCCTTCCAAATAGCACATATGTATTTTTCTTTGCTGGTCGATCTTAGAAATAGATAAGTTTCTTCCAATCAGGGAGTACAAGAGGACAATTTCAAGAAACATACCAATCACAATACAGTAGAATAAAAATCCATATAGGAATACTCCTGATCCGCAAAGCTGGATTTTAAGGGATCTAGATCCTGTCACCTTGCATAATATCTGAAGCAGTGAGGAATGTTCTAATTTCTTTTTGTCTAATTTTTTTAAAGCCTCCTGTGTTCTCATTCCCTCTGGTTTTAATTCTTCGGATATGAAGAATTCTCATTTTCTCTCTGATTTTGAAGGATTGCATTGAGTTGCATGATATTATTTTAAGAAATTAGCCATTCTTCTGTCAAACTGCTTAAGCACCAAAACTGAGGGTTCTTCTTTTGTCTTATCCAGGGCAGTCCTGGTTTCCCTGGAACTACTGGTCAAAAAGGTGACATGGGACCTCCTGGAATTCCGGGTCCCCAAGGTATGAGAAAAAAATACTCATTCTGCTCTGATATTGTACCACACGAAGAAGAAATGCTAATATTGCATTTCTGATTCATTTGAACGGGAAACTGGCTTCAACTTCACCAGAAATAGCCAGCACTATTCCAATCACATTGGAAGTATCCCAAGCTTGAAGCAGTTTAAAACAGGACCCTTTGAAGCAGGGATAGCGTCAAATTTTTTAGCAAGGGTGGGCGTGGCCATGGTGGGTGTGGCCTAGTCAGCTTCCTGCATCATGGGGAGAGGGCGTTTTTGCCCTCCCGGGGCTCCGGAGGTTTTTCTCGAGCCTCCAGAAGGGCAAAAACGGCCTCCCCAGGCTCCAGAGGCCCTTCCCAAACTTCCAGTAGGCCCATTTTTCACCCTCCCCAAGCCTCCATGTGCGCCCTGCACTTACCTGCATCCAAAACGGGCTACGTGGAGATTCCAGGGAAGGGAGGGGTGGGCAGGGCCATCCAGGAGTGGGATTTGGGGGTTCTCCGAACTGCACAGAATCTTAACCAGAGGTTCTCCCAAACCACTGCAAACCCCCAGCAGCCCACCCCTGCTCTCAAGCTTTGAACACTGACACAACCCCAGCCAGAACACTTGCAGTACAGGCAGGACAAAGGGAAGAACATTTCAAATTTGGAAGAATTTAAATCTGCTTAGTTGAAGTCATGATATATTTGAAATCTATCTACTAAGACAAATGGAGCAATTGTGGCTGTGAGGGATAAGATGCCACATACTGTTTCTCGGTCCTTCGTCTCATTAGTTGTGTTTGTGAGGGGGAGTTTTATCCTTTTACCTTAAACAAATATCAAGGAAACTGATGATGAAAGGATGAAAAATAATGAATACTGTATATAAAAGTGAATAAAAAAGTCAAGAAATATTGGATAATAAGGATAAAATCAATGGGGCCATTGGGTATGTTGGAATGAAGAATTTAAAAATAGATAAAGGAAGAGTTTCCCTTGGTAACAATGAAGATTTCCTTTATTTCCAGGTCTAAAAGGTTCTTCTGGTTTTTTGGGATCCAAGGGAGTACAAGGTGACCAAGGGTTTCCTGGAAATAAAGGTTCGTGTTGGCATTTTTTATTTCAGATTTGATTATTTTGAAAAGAATTGTTGAGAAAGAGTCGAAATAACTTGGTGAAATCCACCCAATCTCTTTTTTACATTTAAAGTCCCGTAGAAGGTGTCCTTCTGATCCTTTTATTTCCTGGCTTCTGTGGATGTTGGCTTACTGTGCTTCTTGCTTTATCCCTGCTAGGTCTGCCAGGCCCACCAGGTCCTCCAGGCCCTTTTCAACTTCTGAAAGGTGAACCAGGCCTACCTGGCACTCCAGGCCCTGCTGGCCCCAAAGGAATTCCTGGTTTTCCAGGACCAAAAGGACAACAAGGTAAAAGGATGAGATCACTTCTTGAAGTAATTGGGAAGACTACCTCTTGCTCTGCCAAAATGTCTTATATGTCTTATATGCACTAAATCCAGAGACTGTTAATAGGCTTTGCAAATTGGACAGCTGCTTTAATACAACAGGACAAACTAAAGAGAAATATCCTAACAGTGAGAACGATTTATCATTGGAACGGCTTGCCTTTAGATATTGTGGGTGCACCATCACTGAAAACCTTTAAGAAGAGTCTGGATAGCCACTTGTTTGGAATCATGTAGGACCGTGTTGTCAAACCTATGGCACATGGAGCCATATTTGCTGGCACGGCAGCCTTCAGCTCCGGCACACATGTGCGTGCCAGCCAGCTGATTTTCAGCTTTCTGGAGGGCTGGGGAGGCCCTCCAGTGCCTGGGGAGGGCAAAAACTCCCCCCTTTGCAAGAGGGATTGCGTGCGCACACACGGGGAGTCACGTGCGCATGTTCAGGTGGGGGCACACAATTTTGGCACAACTTTAGAAAAAGGTTAGCCATCACTGATATAGGGTCTCCTACCTGAGCATGGAGTTGGATCAGAAGACTTCCAAGGCCCCTTCCAACTTCATTACTCTTTATTCTTTTATTCATCATCATCCCTATTTTTCGTGACTTGAATTCTATAAGTGAATTGTGACTGCATTTTCATTTCAATAGGTGTCACAGGACCATCGGGTTTGACTGGCCCCCCAGGAATACAGGGAATTGACGGCACACCTGGTCAGAAAGGAGATAAGGGCCCTGTGGGTCCTACAGGCAAGTCTGATCATATTGCTGGAGCCAGCTTAATAGCCTCATAGTAAATTCAGCAAAGGGCATTTTAAGATGATAAGCTTGAGAGAAAGATCAATTTTCAGGAGAAAAACAATTGTTAAGAAATTGGTGAGGTGGTTTGTCTTTAAACCATATTAGTCTTTGGCTCTGAGAGTGACTATTCTCCCCCACCGCACCTCCAACACAAAATAAATATACCATTTGAATCCTAAACAAATTTATTCTGAAGCTCTGACTTTGTAGAAGGGGACCTTGAGCTTGGAAGCAACCCAGGCAAAGAAGCCAGAATGCCTGCAAATGTGCTCAGAGGTTTTGGCTATGTGGAAGATGTGGGATGGCTAAAGCAGAACCAAGACTGCAAAAAATGGCAAAGATTGAGCTGTACTTGAACATAATTCCATATAATAAAAGTTTGGGTAGAGGCTCTTTTGGCTTCCTCTCCAGGAGTATCATCTTACCAAATGAATGCAATGAAGTAAAGCTTTAATTCTCGGGTCCAGGTCTGTTCTCCATCTTTGAAATTAAAGAAATCCTTTATTCTGTTTAAACACATTCTGATTTGCATCAGATCATATTCCAAAATAACATTGAGAATTTATAAAATTAGAGATTTGTAGCAATTATAAAATATACGAGGACTTCATTGATAATAACTAAAATCAAATTATGTCATCAAGTTAGAGATACAGCTCTCTTTTCACAATGTCAGTGCTCTTATCATTGTTTCTGGTAGGTCCGAGAGGCTTTCCTGGTCCCCCTGGTCCTGAAGGCATGCCAGGGGTGATGGGTCCACCGGGCAGACCCTCTATGGCTCACGGTTTCCTCGTGACCAGGCACAGCCAAACCACAGAGGACCCCTCCTGTCCATTTGGGACAAGGGTCATGTTCTATGGATATTCTTTGCTTTATGTACAAGGCAATCAACGGGCCCATGGTCAGGACTTAGGTAAGTAAACACAGAAGGAATCCTATAAAATGAGTATTTGTTATATTAATCAATTTTACATTTAAAAAGGGCAGCATTTTATGCTAAGTTTTTATGTTCATCAATTGTTTCATAAGAATGGCAGAGAAATCGATCTGGTTCATATATTTCCATAAACTTACTCAATTCTGTATATAATCTGAAAGAAACAAATGTAAAAGTATATTTGTGAACATCATTTTCAAACTCTTGTAATATGTACATGTGTATATCAATGAAAATTATTTTCAAAAGCATGTATGAAAAAGAAATAGCATAAAAGGACGTTGTACGCGGGAAACTGCATATAAAAACAGTTCAGGCTTGGAAAAGTCAATGTTTACATAGACTTTTTTTTTAATGGAAACTGATGCAAAAATAGTCAGAAACAAACTGATGGTCAGCAAAATTGGAAAGTGACACACAGTCCCCCATGTGGGACAAGTGATAGCATCGAGCCTCAGAGTCTGCTCTGACAGTATCTTGAGTAATACAAGGAAGTGTTCAAGGCACATATGCCTCGAAAAGCTGAGCAAAGTTTATTTTTCAGGTCATCTGAAATAAGGATGTTTCTTGAGGGTAGTGATGTTTCTGAATCTATGTCAGGTTCAGATATTTTTATTTTTAATTAGACTTTATGCACCCTTATGGAAGTTCTCTTCAAACTTACAGCTATAGCTCAACACAGCATTCTATTTTGGCCATGTGGCCATTTCCCCTCCACCTCTTGGTGGTGTTTACAAGTAACACTCGACTTATGACCACAATTGAGCCCAAAATTTATGTTGTTAAGTGAGTTTTGCATAGTTTTACAATCTTTCTTGCCACAGTTGTTAAGTGAATCACTGCAGTTGATAAATTAGTAACTCTGTTATTAAGTGATTTTTTTAGAGATTTTCTTAGAGATTTTATTAATATTTGTAGGCCGCCCTTTTCCCTGAGGGGACTCAGGGCGGCTCACATAAAATCGGGGAGGGGGAATACAGACGCTAAGATA